GGCGTGGGAGGCGAGGAGGAGGGGGGTCCTGGCAACCTCTCCCAGCCCTAGTCCCTGGTGCTTACCCTATACCTCTGTGGCCACCACTCAGAAACCACCTTCTTCGGTGCCTGTAAACACCAGGAAGGCCTTATGATGCTCAGGGTTTGTTGGTTTGGTCTCCACCAGAGCACTCAGCCCCACAGCCCTCCTTGTTCCATCTCCTCACCTGAGGATTCTTGAGCCCTGGGCTCATTAACCCTCAAGCCCTTTGGGGGCAGTTCCAGAATCTCTCTGTCCAAGCTTTGGGTTTCAGGGTCCCTGAAGCCCTCAGAAATGCCCCTGACAGGGGCAGTGTTAGCCCAGTCAAGGCAGAGCTCCTATGGGAGGGCCGCTGGTGGGAGCCTCCCGCACATTCTCTCCTAAGGAGTGGCACCCAGAGCCCTGAGAGAGGAGGGGAGCAGGAGCCGGCTCCTGTGGCAGCACTCTGTGGTTGTTCCTGCGCACGTGCTCACCGACTTCTCCCACTGTTACATAACGGAGGTGTTCTCCCCTTATTTTAGATCCTGGTACCATCTGCCCTGGTTTTCATGCATCACTAGCTCCAGGCTGCAGGTTAGATCTGGCTTGGCCGCCCAGCTCTATCCCTCACTTGGTGAGAGACTTTGGTATAAAATGAGACTCTGGCTCCACCCTACCTTCCTCCCAGGGCTGCTGTGAGAATCGGGGGAGAGGAAGGGGTGAACTGGCTGTGTAATGTGCTCAACTATACAGATGTCCCTGGTTGTTACCTGGCAGCCCGAGCCTGGTGTCTCCTGAGCTGGGGGGTGGGGTGGGGGGGCTCTGCTTGCTCACGCCCCCACTTGCACCAGGTTTGCAGAGCTGGGCCCTGTTTGAAATTCAGGAAGTGAGCAGGCCACACAAGGGGGGAATCTTTGGCAGGCCCCCTGCTGTGGGCAGCAGGGGCACAGCCCAAGCAGCTTGTGGCCGGCAGGGCCAGGAAGCCTGTCACCTGCTCACAGTGCCTCTTGGCCCAGGGTGGACTGTCAAGCACATGCGTTCTGTAACAAGGCATTGTCAGGAGGTCAGTGCAGACTGACAGCAGGCCACGGGACCCACGGACAGAGGTACTGCTGGACAAAGTCTGGGGTGCAAGCTGAGCCTCGCCTGAGGCCCCTCCCACAGTTAGAGGCTTTGTCTACTTGCTTTCCCTCCTCTTGCCTGAGGCACCAATTGAGGCCCTGGACTGAGAGCCACTGGCTGAAGGTCACACCACAGGGGTGCACAGCGGACCGGCAGAGGGTACTGGATGCTCTCCAGCCTCACAGGCCCTGAGGAAGATCAAATGAAATCATGAATGCTTGGTCCCTGGCCCAGGGACCTGCTGACTGGGAGATGGGAGTGTCCGTCAAGGGGCCCAGGCTAGTCCTACTGGCCAGAGACAGTGGGAGAAACATTAAGCCTCACTGACCCAGGGAATCCTTCCAAGGGGTGGATGCTGGAGATAGTGCTCCTCTCCAAGGCAGCGCCTGGACAGTAGGACTGGACAGTGAGAGCCGGTGGCAGCCTTTGGAAGGTTTCGTCTCTCCCCTCAGCCGCACAAGAAGGGGCAGCTCTCTGCAGACAATCAGTGAGGGCCTAGGTGCCTGCTAACCCTGACCCACCCAGTTCCCAGGGCTGTTGGGGCCGCAGGGTCAGTGATGGTGGACAGCAGCACTCTGGGGACTGTGACACTAAATAAATCACTCCCCCTGTTGAGAACCACCACCTCTGTTCTGCCCACCTCAGCCGGCTCTTGTGAGAATCAAAACCAGACTCTGCACCTCAGTAGGCACTAAGCTGCCAGAACGTGAATGGTAAATGTGAGGTTTTAATTAGTACTGAGGTTATCTGGAGGGGAGGTTCTCTGGGGTTTTCAATCACAAGGACAAAAATTAAAACTCAGGCAGCCTGCAGGTCAGCCCAGCAGTTCTAGCTTTCTCCTGGAGACCCCAGCAGACTTGGATGCAGCTTCTCCAGTGTTCACGTTACTGCTGACCCCAGCTCCGAGCGTGAGACCTTCTCCCCCGCCTGCTAGATCCTAGCCATCCATGCATTCCTTTTCCTTTAATAAAATTAAGCATGAGCCCTAGCTGGTTTGGCTCAGTGGATAGAACATTGGCCTGTGGACTGAAGGGTCTCGGGTTCAATTCCAGTGAAGGGCACATTGCAGGGGTTGCAGGCTCAATCCCCAGTAGGGGGTGTGCAGGAGGCAGCCGATCAATGATTCTCTCTCATCATTGATGTTTCTATCTCTCCTTCTCCCTTCCTACCTGAAGTCAATAAAAAGATATTTTTAAAAAATTAAGCATGAAAATAAAAGATGTGAAAATGCAATTCTGAAAGGCAAGCTCTGTGAGACAAAAGGATCTTATTGTTATGTAAACATGATGGCCATCACATGTCCCTCTCTGGGCTCTACGGCATTTCAGACCTGCCTGCCCTCACTGTCATCCCTGCAGGGCTCTCGGCCTCACCTTGCAGAAGGAAGCTGGGACAGGGCACTCCTGACTGAAGACAGGGGACAAAGGGACACAGGCAGGGTGAATTTGCTCATTGTGGGATCTGCTTTTCCTTGGCACTGCCTGAGCCCCGTGGTCAGTCCCAGCTGCTGAGGTCCTTCTGCCTTCTCCTAGCATCAGCTCCACATTGAAGCCAGATAGCTACAGAGCCGCGGGAGCTGTTTCTAAAGGGCCTTGTGTCTTTGTGCCAGTGGGGATCACAAACCCTTTGAGACCTCAGGCTTGAGTGGAAACTCCCAGCCAGGAGCACAGGGTGTTCCGGCTGTGGGTGCAGAGCGCCCTCTCGTGGCCGGCATGGCCCTTCCAGGGAGGACGGAAGTGCAGTGCTGTGATTGGCGAGGCTTGACACTCAGGACCCTGTCCCAGGCCTGCAGCCACCTGGAGGAGGGTAGTGCCTGGTGTAGGTCCGAACATCCAGGCCCTGGGAAATTTCAAGGAGGGCAGCCTTCAAACCCAACTCCAAGAAATGATGACAGCCTATCTGTGACCTGACTTCTTAATTAAAAATAAGGCCACAGCCCTCGCCTGTGTGGCTCAGTTGGTTGAGAGGCATCACATGCACCAGGAGGTTTGGGTTCGATTCCTGGTCAAGGGCACATGCCCGGGCTGTGGGCTCAGTCCCTGTGAGGGAGCATGCAGGAGGCAGCCGATCGATGTTGCGCTCTTACATCGATGTTTCTCTCTCCTCCTCTCCCTTCCTCTCTCTCTAAAAATCAATAAATTATTTTTTAAAAAAGATAAAGCCACAGTAGGAAGGCAAGCCATCAATGAAGGCCACCTGAGCCCTACAGAATAGGTGTGTGTGTGTGTGTGTGTGTGCATGAATGTGTAAGTGTGAACACCACATGAGATAGACAGAGACTTTCCCCACCCTGGGGGAGAGGGTGTCACCGCCCCTGGCCTTTGCACCATAGCTCCTGCCCAGAATGCCTCAGGGGTTCCTCTCCAGGCAAAACTAATCAAACCCAAACCAGAAACTGCCCTCTTAGCCAAAGAGTACCTCTCACTTAGTCTGTCCTAAGTCTTAAAAGAGGTTGGAGAAATCTCAAATGTAAATCTCCACAACCTCCCACCCCCTCCACAGTCAGTTCTGAACTTTGGCCACACACACCAGCACCATGGACATGCAGAAAGGTGCACCGTGGGCACATGAGGCTCAGGCGAGGTCACAGAGCTGGACCCAGAGCGCCCTGGGACACAGAATGTGAAGCAGTTCTACAGC